AGGAAGAAGGTTAAACTTTTCCTTTTAAGGATTCTTTCTGGAAGTAGGAGCCCCAAATTAGTCACCATATTTAGTATCAAGGGAAGTAGAAAAAAAAGTTTTTTCTTCAGATGACCAGGTGCCCAGCTAAACACTGAAGTTTCATTAGTATGGAAAAAGGGGAGAATAGATATTGGGGAATAATGAACTGTCCTAGCCATATAGAGTAATTTTTAAGACATGCTTTTAAGAGGTATTTTGCCTTTTAACTGAGCATCTAGAAACATCAACTAGCTCTCATAGTAGATAATGAGGGTACTTAAAACTATTATTGTCACAGAAACTGAAGTGCAGAGAGGTCAGTTGGGAAGCGGTTTAAGGAAGCAATTGAAAACTTCCTTTGCTCAGTCATTTGATCCCAACTAGAATAGTGACGCTATTTCCACTGGCTGTATCTTCTTGCATGGGTTCCTTAATTAGGTTGAATCTCTGCATTTTCTTCTCTTTAGAGTCAGGCAATAAATTACAAAGCTGGGACTTAGGAATATTTCTCCTTAATCCAGGGCTTTTTCCAATCTGATTTTTGGTCATATTCTTGTGGAAGTTCTCTGATCACACCTGCCTCACAACAGAAGGCAGAACTGGCTCGAGGTAAACGATGTTAGGGAAGCCTCACACCACATATTCTTCAGCTGAACAAATGCCCACCCCTCCCTAAAAAGCCCTGATATCACACTAGACAAGAGGTTTCTAGTACTGGAGCTTCTCATTCCTACTTTCTCCTAATTCATGTGCCTCTTTGTACTGTAAATAGAGACAGATGCACAAGGAACACAAAAGACTCTGTTCTCTGGGAAGTATAATGGCATAAGGCAGGGATCTTCCAAATGGAATAACATACATGTCACCTTCAACATCTGTACTTTGTCCAAAAATACCAGTGTTATACTTTCCTTAAAATTTGTCTCTGCATTGACTTTAACTTCTAACAGTTCCATTCTGAGCAAATTTATCTATGGAATCCAACTTTGGTGTGATAAATAAATTTTCTTTCAAATACATATTAAAATAAACCATCAGTTTTTACAGGTGTCTGTTTATCTTTTCACCTGCCCTCAGTGGTATATGGATCACATTTTGGGAGGCCCAGCATAGTAGAAAGAGCATCATCCAAGAAACTCTTTGTTGCTATTCCCGACTTGTATGACGTTGGACCAGTTATTAATTAATCTTTCTCAACCATAGTCTCCTCACCTGAAAGATGTGGATAATATCTACCTCATCAGTGGTGTTCTAAGGATTACATGAGAATATGTAACTGAGGATACAAGCACAGTGCTTACTGAGGATACAAGCACAGTGCTTGCCAGCATAGCAATTGCCCAGCAAGTAGTAGGTCCTTCCTTCCTTGAGGTCTGCTTGGAAATATCAGGCATGCAAACCTGGAAGCAAGAAACAATGAAGTGCCATCATGATTTCTATAGATGATAGCAAGACCTGTGAGAGCTCAGAAGTAGGGAAGGCTGAAGTTAACTAGAATGAAGGAGGAAGGGAAACATAGGTAGAGAGCCATTCTTCCTGGTCTCTCCACCTCTCTAGGGCCTTGCTACTTACCATGTGGTCCAAGGACCAGGAACATCAGAATCACTTGAGAGCCTGTTAGAAATGTGGAATTTCTGGCTTTTCTCCAGACCTACTGAGACAGAATTGCCTTTTAACAAGATCCCCAGGTGATTTTATGCAAGAGAAGCACTGCTCTGGGAACTGATATTCTATCAAACTTATTTCTAGTAGGGGGCTAGTCCTCACTCTAAGCATATCACCTGCACCAGCATCACCTGGGTCCTGCTTCTAAAAAATGCAGATTCTCAGACCTCACATCAACCTAGGCCCTGGAATCTGCATTTTTAGCTGGTATACCTCATGGCTTTCAAGGTACATTTTTTTGGCAACTGCTATACTAAAGCTTAAACCACTGATAGAAATTCTGCATTTATTCTTCAGTGTTATTTGCATTCCAGCAAGGAAGAAAGCTTAAGGAAAAGATGGTCCTAATGGTGGTGTTAGTAAGCATTAAGGGGAGGATCTGAATTCATCCCATATGTGCCTGAAATCCCATCACAAAGCCACATAAGAACAGAGCTTCTGAGGAAGGCAGTATCTTAGCAATGTCATTTTTTTTTTCTTTTTGTATTTTACATTTGATTTTTTTTTTTAACATTTTGTTTTTTAGCCGTGCTATCAAGACTAATCAGGATCTTCTCCCAGAAACTCCATGGACGCACATTTTCTACAATGATTTTTGGGGGACTCTCCTAACCCACAGTGGCAGCCACAAGTCCTACCGGCCACTCTGCACTCTTTCTTTTCGCCTGAACCATGCCATTGGAGGGTTGAATCCCTGGAGCTACCATCTTGTCAATGTCCTGTTGCATGCAGCAGTCACTGGCCTCTTCACAAGCTTCTCCAGGATCCTCCTTGGTGATGGATACTGGACCTTCATGGCTGGCTTGATGTTTGCCTCTCACCCCATTCACACGGAGGCAGTGGCGGGAATCGTGGGCCGAGCTGATGTCGGGGCCAGTCTTTTCTTTCTTCTCTCCTTGCTCTGCTACATTAAACACTGTTCTACAAGAGGCTACTCAGCCAGGACTTGGGGCTGGTTCCTGGGGACGGGACTGTGCGCAGGATGCAGTATGTTGTGGAAGGAACAAGGAGTGACTGTTCTCGCAGTTTCAGCCGTTTATGATGTCTTTGTCTTTCACAAGCTGAAAATGAAACAGATCTTACCTACCATTTACAAAGTAAGTGATTGTTGGCTCTTGGGCATTGGATTACTGAGTAATCTACTTGCTTGTTCCTTTGCCACCCTTTAAAAAGCAAATAGGTTGCTCTTCAAGCAGAATTTAAAATGAGTTCCTTTTTGATCTTTGGTAAGTGGAAGTATACGTTTTGACCTTTCTCTGCTAAGCAGGGTTTCAGTCACTGATGGTTTCCTCAGGTTTCCTGATTTATTTTCATGTTTTCAAAGGTGGTAGAAGAATAATTTTGGCTTGTAAAGAACATGCATCTTTATATTTATGGATTGTATTCTTTATTTCTGCCTGAATTCTCTATAATCCAGTAAATTGTCTATAATGTATATTTGTGCAAGTAACAGCTGATAATAGAGCTAGATGCTAGGCTCTGCAGAGGGGAAATCCGCTGCCATTTGTTAATATTACTTTTCCTGAGTTGACTTTGGAAAACAACCCTTCTCTGTAGTGTACTGAGAAGTCAAATTCTTAAACAATGAATCATACTCACCTTCTCCTTGTTGTAGTGTGTTAGAACAGAAGAGTCAAAACAGAAAGTGGTTATTAAGTTTTACCCTAAGGCCAATTAAGGCCTTTGCCTCAGGGCTTAATATTTCTTCTGTATTTTCTTAGTGGTTTCAAGTGCAGTGTTGTTTGAATGTCACAGCAGCATTTTTGTATCCCCATACACTTATAGAGACTGAGCAGTTTTTGCTAGAGCTGTGAGGGGAGAGATTGGGGTGACAGGGGCAGGCCTTGCCGTCACATCGTCCCTCACTCAGAATAAACTTACCCTTGCTTTGACTTTCAGTATAAAGACTGGACCTGGCCAGGGTTTGCAAACCATGGCCAGGTTTTAGCAAACACCCACCTTCCTTTTGGACACAAGTGAGGAATTATGGTTTTGGATACTTGCTGCGAGGAAGCTGTCAAGTTTTCCTAGTTTTCACTACTTTTTTCTTTTCCCCTTAATTTCCAGTTTTACTTAAAATTGAATTGGGAAAAAATTAAAGAAAAAAATTGAGGGAAATAGAAACTGAAACATTTATTTTTTTAAAAGTGTCATTTTTTTTTTTCACGTAGGCAGAATAATCACTGCTGTGCTTTTGCTCTGCAGGGAAGCATAACCTTTTCACTTAGAACGCAAGTATCGAGGGCTTAATGAAGTTCTTTGTGATTTCAATTAAATGCTGAAACTTGAAAAGAAAACTCTGGTTAGAGTTTGATGCTTGAAAACAACATATGGTTTGAAAGTCAAGCTCTTATTTTCAAGTCAATTTTAATCATTCTTTCAAGGAGATTTAGAGAGAATAATTGTTTTCTTCTATAACGATGTCATCAGCAATAACAAACTTTCTTGTTTTACCAGAAATACAAATAGAATAAGTATGGTTTATAGTCCTTGTCCTTTTGGAGGTTGTGATCTTTTTGAGAATGCAGGCTCAAGAGTTGTTTCAGGATCTTGTGTTGATAGCCTGTGAAACATTATGGTTTCTTATACAGAATATTCATTTTACCATCCCATGAATTAGGGAATTATTTTGATATGTCAATTCAGGACTTGCATTTACTACCTTTTGAAGTTCTGAGAAATTTTCAGTTCTCCAAGCATATTTTCAAGGACAGAATTGCTTGCTGTAGAGCTTCTTGTTATAAGCATGTTCTATACAATATGTGGGACATACTGATAATAGAAAATTATTCTTTGTTTATCTCAAATTACAATTTATCTGGGTGTCCTGTATTTTATTTGGCAATCTTACTCATGTAATTGCTGCTTCGGGAAATGAGAAATGCCATTAGCAAAGGAACTCCTAGGAGTAGAGAGTGTGAAGTCCCTGTGCTATGGGAATGAACTTAATACTGTTAGAGGTTCAGTGTCCTGAGAAATTTCCAAATGGATACTTGCCCAGACTCTTTTGGCAGCCACCTCTTGCAGGGCTAGGCAGCAGAAAGGGTAGTAGTGGGGGCAGCAAACCCTTCGTCTGAGCTATCTGCTATAGTTTGGATATGTTTGCCCTTCCAAAACTCATGTTGAAATTAGACTCCCAGGGCCGAGCCCGTGGCGCACTCAGGAGAGTGAGGTGCTGGGAGCGCAGCAGCGCTCCCGCCGCAGGTTCGGAACCTATATAGGGATGACCAATGTGGCAGTGTTGAGGTGGGGCTTAGTGGGAGGTGTCTGGCCATGGGGGTGGATCCCTCATTAATGGATCAGCACCTTCCCTTAGGGGTGAGCGAGCTCTGTCTCTATTAGTTCCCTTGAGAGCTAGCACTAAAAAGAGCCTGGCACCTGCCTTCCCTCTCTCCTTCCTCTCTCGCCATAGGCTGGCCCCTCTCCTGCCTTCCACCATGAGTGGAAGCAGCCTGACGCCCTTTTCAGATGCAGCTGCCCTATTGTGGACTAGATTCTAGTCTATAGAATTGTGAGCCAAATAAACCTTTTTTTTTAATCTTTATAAATTACCCAGTCTGAGGTATTGTGTTACAGCAATACAAAAAAGGACTGACACTATTTCATCTTAGCTTTTTCTGTTAGTCTTAAATTTGGGGCCAGTGAGCTTAAGAAAAGGACATTGTGATAACAGATTGTATAGATTTATAAGGAACCGTAGGGATCATCTTTGCCATTTTCCTTATTTCTGGCTGACAATGTAGAGAGCCAGAGAGGTGAAAGTCACCTAGAAAATGGTGCAATCGCTAGGACTAGAACACGTATCTGACTGTCTAGGGATCTTTTCTATTGCATTCTGAAGGTGAATGTCATGAAGATGAACAAACAGATGTAAAGTCAGATGACTGCACAATAGAAAGAAAAATAATGTGGAATAAAATCTTAACTCACAGGGGCTGAGTAACCTTGGGCTAATTCCACAATCTGTTTCTTCATCTGGAAATGGAAGCAGTTACTGTTCTCTCTTAGAGCTTTGAAGATGATTTGAAATTGTGGGGTGTTCTGTGTGAGCTGAAGTGCCCAGGATTTGGATGGTACCTAATACCTATTAGTTGAAGAGAAAGAAGTATCAATGGAAATCAAAGTTCTTTGTCTTTTGGCCTTCACTTTAAGATAAACTTCTGTAGTCTTTATACATACAGTGGTTTGACAGCATATGAAATAAGGACGGCTTAAGAATCGACTGAAGCTGAAGTGTGCAGATTTAACCACAAACTTTCATTTAGAATCTCATGACTGCAGGCCTGTAAACACTGGCATGGGTTGCATATGGAAGTTATAGAAAATTCCATATTCTGTGTTTAAAATACGTGTGTGTGTGTGTGTGTGTGTGTGTGTATATATGTGTGTGTAGAAGTTATAGAAAATTCCATATTCTGTGTTTAAAATACGTGTGTGTGTGTGTGTGTGTGTGTATATATGTGTGTGTATATATATATATATATATGAATGTATATATGCAAATATACACACTTTAATTTCTATGCCTGGGGTGAGTTGGAAGAAATTCATTCTGAAGGAAGTGAACTAAAAGAATAATCATCTTAAATATCTTATTAACTGTGCATCACAGTTATGGTTTGCCAGATGGAATAAACTTCCTTGTCCCATTAAAACATATAAAATTATATATAAACAGAAAATGCCAGTGCACAAATGTTTAACTTTATTATGCAAATTAGAGAACTAGTCAAATACTCAAAACCTAAAAGTGGTGGTACTCTGAAACTGGAAATTATTAAGACCAGAAGGGCAAGGTTCTCCATTTTTGTACTTTTGTCAGTGATGTTTTTATTATAGCTGTCAGACTGAGCTCCTCTCTTCACATTGTTGGTGGTTTGGGTTCTGTAACTCTTACCTAAATCAGATCCTGGCCCCCAAACTCAAATGCCTGCCAGGGCCACGCAGAAGGGACTGTGGCACTCTGGAGGTCATGCCCTACCACTGCTTTTCCTCTCCATCCCACGACTGCAGAAAACACAGATGTCTGTATGGTAGAACTTAAGGTTTTTCCAAAAAGACAGAAACCTGAATTTTTCTGTGGTATCTCCTGTTTTTAATATTGGTTACTTATTAAAAACCCCATTTGGGCCAGACAAAATCCTTGGAATGGCTGAATTTGGCCAGAATTCTTGGCTGCCATTTTATTCACTCCTGTTATAAAAATCATGCAAATGATGCACATGTTCATGTTATGTATGAGACTTTTGCAGTTCTGCAAAGGAAACATGAAAGTTATATTTTTCTTTGGTAAGATGTGAGATATAGTAAGTACCTGGCGTATAGTAGATGCTTAGTATTTAATAAACACTTATGGTGTTTACATCTGCCAGGCACAGTTCTTAGTGGGCTGAATATGTCATTACATTCAACTTATGTAACAAATGCTTATTGAGAGAACTAATACAACTTATGAAATAATATGATTGAATATTGAAAACTATAATTTTGTCAATAATTAGAAATATTTGTCAGAAAACACTAAATATAAAATCTTCACAAATATATATGAAACAAATTAGTGTTTTAAAATATTCTTAGTTCTTAACCTCAGGATTTTTTAAAAATGTATTTCCTACATTATCCCTGGCTTTTCGCATGCTATCTAGAACATAGTAGGTACTCAGTAAAATATTAAATTCACACTTGTTTAAGATTTACCTTTTATATGGCTGAAATGTTAAAGTAAAATCCTGTACTCTCCCCATTGTATAAGAATTTCATTCGTACGTTAGTGGGGTCTGGAAGGTGGGATTGGAAAACATGTGTGTCAGAAAAATAAATTTTCTTGACCTCTCACCAAATGACTGTTTTACCGATCCTTAGATTTACTTTCACTTAGTTTTATGTGGTCAAAAAATAAGGGAGGAAGCCCTTGAAATACACTTAAACTAGCCTTGCAAATAAATACTAGACTTTTATCTGCCCACAATTTTTTTTACAAGCCTCCCCTGACCCCAGGAGGCACATGGGTAATAAAATCAGTAAAAGCAACATTTTTCTTACCCAGCATCAGTCATTGCTTGCCTAGCGGCCATTTTCTGTGCTTATTTAACAT